GGGGGGGGGGGAGAGAGAGAGAGAGGAAGAGGCAGACAGACAGACAGATTTAGGACACGGTAAAATTTCATAGTAGGTCATGACGCCGAAAACCTTATTATGTCCATGTCTGCAAGAACAACCATACTGATGTTGGTGGCAGAGCAACGGCGTAGGTGCAGCACAGGCGGGACGGTCTTGGGAGCGTGGCAGCTTGACCCACCGACCGCAGTTGAGACAGACCACACCTTCTTGCAACCAACGCCGTTCTTTGCCATCGTTCCGGTCCGATATGGTCCAACGACAACAAACATGAAATCAGCATTAACACCAACGCAAGCACCAAGACCAACAACAACAACAACAACAACAACAACAATAACAACAACAACAACAAAGCAACGCAAGCACCAACACCAACAAACGAAACCAACAACTCACTGTCCATTCTCGCTTCCCCCGCATCGTCATCGGCTGCGCCATCGCACGTGTCGGAGGGGTGAGTCATCTCGCTCACCGCCGAAATGAAGGACCGCGCATTGAGTCCATCGTACGCGCCGTTGTCGGGGGCTCTGTTCCCGACGCTCCAAGAGGTCAGCTTCGGCAACAAACGTCAGAAACGTCAACAAGAAACGGGAGTTCAGCACACATTTTCACAAAACCTACTCTCCTGTGCTGCAACTACAGACTCAGGCAGCAACACAGGAACACGAATACCGGTAGATGAGACGGGGGCCAGCACACGTTTTCATAACTCATGACGCGCAGCTGCAGCTTCAGATGTCAATTACGGTAACAGCGTCAGGAATGATGAAGAAACCGGTCGCAGCACACACTTTTCACAACTCATGACACACCCCTGCAGCTACACATGACGAGGATCGAATCACATGTTACCTGTTGACTTGATACCAATAGCAACGCGGCATGATCCGTGCACGTGGGGGTTGAAAGCAACGCCCACCACAATCACCCCCAAGTCAAACAAACAACGTCGACAAAAATACGCAAAGACCTATATAGCTCAGCTCGGACACGTCCAGGCAAACGACCTGCGAACATGAGCTCCTGGCAACATGGACAGAGTGGCTCGTTTCAAGTGTGGCGATAGCACGGAAGGAAATGCCTCCATCAATCGATGCACAGATTGTCACTCCTCTCACGCGAACCCCGCACAAGACATGGTGTTCCGTGGGTCGACGTCTACTGGAATAACCGTTTTCGTGACCTTTCTACCACGCGCTCACCTTTGTCCTTAGAAGGGAGATGTACGCTCCGAACGCTCGCAAATGGCGTGCGTTTGTCGAGCTCGAGATTATCCGCAGTTCCTGCAAACGACGAACACGTTTCAGAAGGAAAAATAACCAAACCGAAAGAAGACGATCGCACGCCTTAGCGGTTCGAAGCGACTCCGATGCATGGGGATGGCACAGATGTTCACTCTTCTGTTTTGCTGACATGAACCGTTTTCACCTGAAAAGACAGACGAGAGAGCTCAAGGAGAAGTTGTCATGGCATTCCGCCTTGCGGTGATTCTAGGGTATGCGACAAGTTCTCACAACGACGTGGACAGCGAGAGGAGACGTGACGTGGCCAAGGACAGGGGGCCTGACGGAGGCAGAGGATGATCGGATATCGAACGACTTGAGTGTCATCGGAGCACGACTAATCAAAGTTGATATTTTGGCGGGAAGCCAGCTTGGATCCACACGTTGCTGAGGCAGTCATGAACAGAGGTCAAGTGTTCCTGCTCTCCACCCCGTGGGGCACGGAACGTGGAATACCACAGGCATCAGTCAGCTAGGGGTCAGGGTCATAAAAACAGGATACACCAGTACGATTGCTTGGACTCACGTCGCAGCCGAGGTCGTCGTGAAGCAGCAGGGTAGTCCCGCTCTCCATGAAGATGTTCTTCGTCATTAGCCAGATGCTGTCGTCAAGGAAGCGTTGTTACATGTGAAGGTGTA